AAGGAAAGGTAGCAACAAAGGGATGTGGCAGCAGCTCAGCTTTAGAGTGTGCAATCCTGATGAGTAGGAGCTCCCACACATCCCATGTAACATTCTGTCTCCTCCCTGCCTCAGCTGGCCCCCAAGGCCATCTTCATCCCTCCCCTGGGCCTCAAGCCCTCTCCACCCAAGCAAGGTCAGGAACCAGGGTACCCCCTCCCTCCCTGGGGTGGGAATCTCCTTGGGGATTCTCTGGGAAGGCCCAGTGGCTCGCTGTCTCTCATGCTGTCACTGCCCAGGGCCCTGGCAGGAGGATGGCCTGCTCGGTGGGAAATCTATAGGAGAAGCAATCAGGTCCGTGATTGGCACTTTAGGACAACAGAAAAGGGACAAGGATGAGCTCCTTTTAGAACCAGAATTCACCAGGAGCTGTGGGCTTCCCACCCAAGAGTCCTTGTATTCTATCCCTCTCCCATCTCTTCAAATGGCAGGGCAGAAGGCCAAACCAGCAAAGCTGGACAGTGGCAAGTGCAGCACAGAGGAGGGGTGGGGGTCAGGGAGCATGTTTCAGACAAGCGACAGGTAATCTGAGCAAAAGGCAAGGGCAGAAAGATGTAGGAAGAGACACAGAAGCAGAGGAGGAAGCAGTTCTTAGCCATTCTCAGCATACATTTATTGAGTGCTTACTGTGTGCCAGGAAGTAAGCCAGGTGCCAGAAACAGCAATGGAGCAGGAAGTCAGGACCAGTTACTGAGTTGTGGTATCACTACCGACCCTGGTTAACACAGGAACCAATGGACCCTTCAGGTGCCACTCAGGACCAAGGCTGTTCCAGTGATGGAAAGGGATTCAGTGAGGCAAGACCCTCTCCCTCTGCCCCAGCTAGGTAGAGAGGGGGCACACGGACAGCTCCTACACACTCCTCAAAATGCATTCACACCTGAATACATCTGGACCCATGCGTGCACATGTGCCCCACACAGAGGCACAGCCAAGCAGTTGTACAGGACGTGGTACATGACCTGAGTCACCCCACTCAGCATATACCGTCGTAGTGCCTGAACGTTTAGACCTTATCTTGAGAAGCTTTGGGGCCAAATATCTTACTAGTATGCGAGGCATAAAAGAAAGACAGGGGGACAACTTCTTTAGGCTTTTGCATAGAGAGATTTTCTGAGAGAGATAGGGGTCAGCAGAAACAGATCTCACTTACTCCACTTGGCCACGAGTCTGTTCTGGTCAGAGTTGCCTAAAGTAGATGTCCTTTGATATGGATGGGGTTAGGGTGGGGGTGGGGGGTCTTCATTCCCTGTGCTAGCTGCACTCCTCTGGAATCATAAACGTAATGCTATTGCTTGTTAAGTACCTACTAAGTGTCAAGTATATTGCTGTACCAGGGCTTTGTGTCCATGTTCACCTACCTCACAGTGAAGGTATCATCTCCATTTTACGGATAAGGAAACTGAGGCTCAAGACTTGCCTAAGGTCACCCAGATGGTATCTTGGTTGGGGCCTCTAACCTCTGAGCTTTGTCTCACTGCCTCCTTGGCACAGAAGAGATGGGACCTCATTCTGGGATGGGGTCGGGAGCTACCAGGGGCCCCAGTTCATCTCAGATCCACCCCAGGAGGCTGAGAATGACTAACTTCAAAGGTGGACATACCATCTGCAGAGACCCAGGGACACAGGCAGTGGCTCCCTGTGTATAGAGAGCCTCACCCTATGGCAGGCCACTCACATAGACAATGCTGCACTTCCTTCACGACACAGCATCACCCCAGGCTTTGGGTGAGTTAGAACATGGGTGGCAACAGGTTCACAGAGCCCACCTTTTCACACTGATTACCCCCAATTCTAGGGCTGGGGGTGCTGCAGCCTATGGAAAACCAACTCCTTCACTTTGGGGGTCCTGGGCTCCAAATCCTCATAATCCCACCATTTATTTTGAAGAAAATGGGCTCTGACCCTTGAGTTGGGCCCCTAATAATTAGAATAGATAAGGCACCTCACCACCCCAAGAACCCATGAGAAACTATTGTGTTCTCCTTCAGAGGGAAAGGGAGCTGGTGCTTAAATAGCCCCGGAAGCCCAATCCTGTAGAGAGGATTCTCAGAGCTCTCTGATGGGGGCCCCTCACCACAGAGTGCCAACCGCTTGTCTGCATTCCCCATCCCCCGTTCCATACTCTCATAGGCTATCATCCAAGTGCATCAGAAACCCCACTGGGCTGAATGTATTCATGCTACTGCCTGTGGCGGTCCTGCATATGCACCCCCACGCCAACTATGTCCCCATTTCAGAGTCCTGGGGGCCCAGGCCATCAGACATAGTCCAGGGCAACAATGAGGATGGCTGGAACCTTCCCCCAGGAGGGTTTGGAGGAAGCCAACTACAAAGGAATGACAAGATTCCTGGACAGGAGTCCAAGGAGACTAGAGAGGAGGGGACTCCTGGCAATGCTCCTAGGGTGGTCCAACCCATCCCTCACTCTGGCCCCTAGGGTGGTCCAACCCATCCCTCACTCTGGCCCCTTCCCACCAGAAACCTGAAGCATGGGGGAAGGGGTAGCAGAGACAGAGATCTGTGGCCACTTGGTGCCCTCTGCCTCTTGACCAGCCCCTGGTCCTTTCCCCCTCAGGGAATTCCTCTCAGGGTTGAGGTGACAGAGATTTGCTTCCCCAAGTACCCATCAGCCAACATTACTCTATGCTTAATCCCCGGTCTGGGGAAGTTCTTGGCTCCAACAAATAGAGAACATGCCTGGCTTTTTGCTTCCCTTTCCTGGGCCGGTGCTGCCCTGCTCCCATAGCCTGTTGAGCCCTGAGGCTGACTGATGCTCTGAATGGAATGTCCTGGTCTGGAGGGCCTTGGATGCTCTAATGACTTCAGAGGCATAGAGGAGTACCAGCTCTAACCTTGAGCAAGTTACTACACCCTCTGGGCCTCGAGTTTTCCAGCTATAAAATACGGATAGTATCTAACTCCTGGGTTATAATGATTCAAGGATGATAATAGTAAAGTATGTAACCCATCAACTCTGTGCAGAGCAGAATGCCTGGGGGGTGGGGGCATAGGTACCTGACCCACCTGGTACTGCGCCACCCTGAACTCATTTCTCAATGCCTGTTTCTTCCCACAGTCTCCATGTCCTGCTGGTGGGTGGGAGAGACAGGTGGCAGCAACTCCCTTTGGCTGGCCCTGAGTACTGCTGGAGACAGCACAGGCCCTGAATGTACAACCTCAATGCATTTTCCCAGCTGGAAGGGCCCTTGCTAACTCTTGCTATTGGCACTTCCCCAAACTGCACTCCTCTGGCTCTAACCTTGAGCAAGTTATTATAGCCCTCGGGCCTCCAGCTTTCTGGCTATAAGATAGGGATAGTATCTAACTCCTGGGTTTTTATGATTCAAGGATGACAACAGGAAAATATGTAATCCATCAATTCCCTACAGTCAGAGCAGACTTTTTGGGGGCACCAGATTCACCAGATGGGGCTTAGCAAAACAGACTGCTCATTTCCTCTAGGCCAGAGGCAACACCTGGCGTTTACACTTTTAACAAGCACCAGAGGAGTGCCTGCTGCGGGTGGTCACTGGGTACACATGAGGACAGACAGCTCTGACCACTAAAACTAGTGCTCTGGTCTTGGGAAGCCACATGTCCATGAACAGGACAAAAGTGCATCAGGTGCCTGCTGTAAGAAAACACACTTGACTTTCTGCATTTCCCAAATTTGGCCATTTTCTTTTTTCTCTTAAGTAAGTTCTGTGCCCAACATGGGGCTTGAACTCACAACCACAACCCCGAGTCATAAGTTCTACTGATTGAGCCAGCCGGGCAGCCCTTACCATTAAAGTTTTTTTTTTTTTCCAATTAGAATTAACATCTCATAGAACTAGTGTTCGGAGGAAGGATTTGGGAAATGTTGATCTAGTTCTCTCTCCTTTTAAAAAATATTTGTCTTAAGGAATTTTTTTTTGTTTAAATGTTTGAGTGGACTGGAATGAAGCCTAGGAAAATTACGTGTGTTCAAGGTGCTCAACTGTTCATGCAGAGCTCAAATTTGGGTCTGGGTCTGCCCCTTCCTGTTCACCAGTTCCCCTCACCGCATTCTGCCTCTGTCTCTGAGACTCTCTTGGTGTCACTCTGTGTCCTCAGCTCAGGAGGAACCCTGAGTAGGGGTAGGAAATCTGAGTACAGGATGGGAGGGGTCAGGATTCACGGTTTGGCTGGGATAAACAGCAGAGGAGGGGTGGGCCCACACTTCTAAGATGTCTGCCAAGCCCAGTTTGTTTGGGGGCAAGGCAGGAGAGTAAGATATTTTTCCTGGCCCACTGCAGCTCCTAAGATGGCAGTCAGATGGGGAACTGCTGGGTATGGCAGAAAACCTTGTCTTGCCTCTTCGCAAGCTCAAGACAGGCATATGTAGCCATTAACTGAAATGCTAGCAGGGGGATCCCTTACCAGGAGGAAAATGGATTTATTGCTTTACAAAAAGGAGTCTGGTAAAACTAAAAAGACCCAAAAAGTATAAATCTAAAAATCAACCCACCCTGCTGAGCACTCCCAGGAATTCTCAGACACATTTCTGGGGGCAGTCAGGTGGGTGGCTGGAATGCCAGGCCAGCCTGGCAGAGGAGTGGCCTCTCTCACGTAAATAGCTCCAGGGCCCTGGAGGAACCTGCCAGCAGGGGTCGCTGTGGCCCCACAGCCTCAGACCAGCTCCAGGCCCACAGCCGGGCGGCCTCCCGGCCCTTGGGCCTATAGCAGGTCTGACTGGCTGCTCTGCCGGGGGGGGGGGGGGCGGGGGGGGGGCGGGGGGGGCAGAATGATGAGGGCAGACACCCAGAGCCCACACCTCAGCACCACCCCACACACATCTCTCACATACATCACATGGTCACACATCCCACATGTACACACAGCCCCTCACAATCCATCTCCCCAGTCAGGCCAGGACCTCTCTGTCAGCAACAGCCTGACTGCCACCCCCATAAAGACAGCTGTGTGTGGAGGGGGTGCCCTGTTGGTGTGGTTTTAATTCCCTTCAGGTCACAGACTGGATGGAGGGTGGCAGTGGAAACTTGCTCTTCTCCCTGAGGGAGGAGGTGAGGGACTACGAAGCAGCCTTGTCCTTGGCTTCTGAGCCATGCCTGACTATCCAGCCCTCCATCCCCTCCCCAGGCTTTAAACCAGGGGGGCTTCTCCACAGGCCTATAACAGCAGGACAGGTCATAGACAGGCTACAGGGGGCTGGAATTACAAAGGAGTTAGCACCAACAACAGGAAGCGGGTCCTTCCTTCCTCAGGCAGCCTCAGACTGACCAAGGGAGGAGGTCGAGGGGCCAGGCAAGGGGGTGCAGGCAGCGCAAGCCTTTGTCCTTGGGTAGGTGTGGCCAGTGGTCATGCAACCGAGGGGTAGTTGGCAGGCAATAGATGGCAGACCCCTCTGCTTTGGCAAGAGGCAGAATCCAGACACTTAAGGGAGAGAGCCTGCCTGCTGGGGGCCCTCCTTGCTCCCCCTGCAGGCACCACAGAGCCTCAGGACCCCAGGGTCCCCCCGAGGATGGCAGAGCAAAGTCCAAGGCTGCCTTTGCTTCCAGCAGTAGGAAAACTGAACATCCGGGCCCTCTCCCATCCTTCCACAGCAGAGCTCCAAGGCAGGACCAGGGCCCTGGGAAAGAGCGTGGACTCCAAAAATGTGAAGGAGAGGATCCTGAGGGTGCACGGAGGTCCTCTGGGATGGAGAGAAGGACACTGGTGAGTCACTGAAGCGAGGGCAGGCCACAGTTCTGAGGTGGTGGGCACTACACAAAAGCTTCCCGGTTGGATGAGCCATTCAGCTTGAGGAAAAGCTTGTCATCCTCCCTCTTCTGCTGCAGCTGCCTCTCCAGCTGGCGCCGGTAGCAGATGAGGTAGAGGGGGAGGCAGAACCCCAGCATGCTCAGGCCAAGTAGCCCCACATTCACCTGGAGAAGCAGAATTGAGAGTTGCCATCACATGAGGCAGGGGAACAGGCAGGGGAACAGTCAGGGGCTGTGGTCTTTCCAGAGCCCGGCTCAAGACCCTTCCCCACACTCAGTTTTGAAAAACGTGAGGTCACTGGACAAGAAAAGACAAACAAACTGGAAGGTTGAAGCGGTCCAAGGGCCCGTCATTCCACATTCCAGCATCAGAATTCCCCAGTGTCCATGGCTGCCGGGAAGCCTGCAGGGCCCAGGCCCCCACCTTTGACCTACTGATGTGAATGTTCAGGGGTGGGACCAGGACATGGGCAGGTTCAGTGTACCTGGTTAGGGATCCCAATCTTCAGCGGGAGGGCTGCCTCAGAATAAGGTCCAGAAGGGATACTTTTCTCCTCCTGCACAGTCACCAGTCACCAGGGGACCCTGAATCAATCCTAACCAATGTTCCAACCTGCCTATGCTTGGGGCTCCAGAAGCTCCCTTGGGATGTCTCCCAGCTCTGATTCCACAGAGTGGGGCACATGCCTACAGCCCACCGCCCCAGACCCTTCTTACCCAGAGAGGGTCTCCTTGGAGGGGACCCATCATGGCCAGAAACAGGGGTTGCTGCAGGAGAGCGAAGAGTGCACTGACCAGCGACTGCAGTCCTGTGAGGCTGCCAAACTGGGTGGAGGGGTACCTGCCAGGACGATAGGGGACCTGTCACCACAGGCACCACTCTCAGACTTTCCAAACACTCCTCAGCCTCAGCCTGGCCCCAGGTGTCCTGATGCATCCAGGCTGCACCCCTGGTGCCAGAGAAGAGACAAGAGCAACCTGAGAGAATGGTGGGGTGCCTTCTTGGATTAGTTTCTGCTAAGCAGTTCTGTGACTGTGAACTTCTCTTTCAGATTCTGGGGGAGAACCCTGCCCAACCCAGGTGTGCCCCAGGTCTCTGGGTGTCTGGATAAGCTGAGTGGAAGAGTGGTGCCAGGAGGAATCTGCGGCATGGGAAATGGGCCCAGGGAGCAGGTTGGAGGCTGGCCCTGGCTCTGCTAACACCCTCATCCAAAGGAGCATTGTGTAATCACGGAAACTCGGCATCACACTTAGTGGACTTGCACACTCTGCCAAGGCAGCAGCAACTTCCTCCTGGCACTGGGTGGAGTAGGGGACGAAACATAGACCTGGAATGACCCCCCATGGGATGCTATTGGGAGAGGGAGAGAACTGTGGCAAAATCTCAGGGACTGTCAGGCTTTGAAACCCCAGAGGTAGGAAGGGGCTCCCAGACAGGGATGAAATGGTCTTTAGTCAGAGACACACAGCAGAGGGTGTTTGAGTTCCACTTTTTAAAAGATTTTATTTTTAAGTAATCTCTGCATCCAGTGTGGGGCTCAAACTCAACCCTGAGATCAAGAGTTGCATGTTCTATCGACTTAGCCAGCCAGGCACTACCCCCAGAGTTCCATTTTTGAGCCAAGCCCCAGCCCAAGGGGGAAGAACAACTGTGTTAGTTCCTTCTGCACGTGTAGCCTCTTGGAAAATGAGGCAGGTTTCATTTTATCCAAGGCCTGAGAGGGATGTGGGCAGAACCAGGCCCTCTCAGATTCAGGGTGACAACAGTCTGACACATTATGGGATCTGACAGTCCCACATGGGATCTGACAGTTACCCAAGTCACTGCCCCTGCTGAGGTCATCGGAAAATCAACACTCAGCTCTGGGCAGCCAGAGCCCACCCCTGCCCTTCCTGTGAGCAGCCAGGGGCAGTCCTGGGACTGGGCTGAGCAGCAGCCCCTAGGCAATAATGAGCTACACAGGAGCAATGACCCTGGCTGGGGAACTGACTTCGTGTTAGATGCCAAGGTCTGTGGGCACCCAACTGTCTGCCTGCTGACCCACCTCCTGCCAGGTGTGACTGTCCCTTGACACAGCCAACAGAAATCCTGGTACCCATCCCCTTGTACAAGAAGATGAGCCCAAGTGGCAGGCTGGCCCCCTTCAGGACCTCCGTCTCACCATGAGCCTCCCTCAGGTCACTCCCTTACCATTGGTGCCAGGCCACCCACAGCACCCAGCACTTACACGGCAGCGTACAGGCCCCCAACAGCAGAGTGGATGAATCCTCGCACAATCGTGTGCAGGATAAAGGAAAGGATCTGAGAAAGGGAGAGCAGAGCGTGAGGGTCCTCAGAGTTCCTGGGATGCTAAGCAATGGGAGCACTGGCAACCTGGTGTGGGCTCACACCAGATCTCCAGGGCCAATGCCTGAATTTTCAGAAATTTTGTGAGCCAGCTATTAAATGACTAAAAATTAAATTTGTAAACTTACAATCAAACAAGTTATGTTCAAAAAAGGAAATGGATATTCAAAACTCACCATTTCTTAATTATTTTCCTATGTTTTACTATTATCTGTGCTCTGGAGGTTTTTACTTCTTGTCAAGTGGGAGTACCTCATGATGGCGTGTCACCGTGAATCTGTCTAATTCCACAACTGGTGGTTTCATGCTGGCTGAAATCAGCCAGGATGAAAGCATTTACACCATGGAAATTGGCAAATGCTGAGTAAAGGCTCCTCCTGCCTCCACCAAGTCAGGTGTTACGTATGCATCGACACAGCACTAAACAGGAGGTGACCGGATCTCCTACCTTGGTTGATCTGAGGACTGTGCCCGAAGGTCTCGTCCCTGGTCAACCAGGCCCTACAGGCAGGCAGTTTTCCTTCTCCCTTCCCAAGGAAAACTCAGCTTCTCAAAAAAGCCACTACTGGCAGGCTTAGCGAGCTCTCGAAGCACTTGTAAATGATTCCTGAGAAGCACGAGAGCAGTCATTTTGCCACTAAGACCCTTTGTTTGCCCCTTGCACATAGCCCTGCCATCCTGCTCCACAGCCAGGACCTGTTCCCAGGAGTGTGGGTGGTGGAGGGGGCCTGGGCTGCTCTCTGCAGTGTTAAAAGAGGGCTATGCCCGACTATGCACGCGCATACCTGTGCAGGCTCCCCCTTTCCACATTGAGTGTCTTATTGCCTCTTCAGAACTTTTCTTTCAATGAGAACTAAATAAAACAAAAGGCAAATGACTGTCCCTACTGAGCATGGCTCCCGGATTGGACAAAATGGTCAAGACAAAGATCTGCTAGACTTGCAGAGAGGGCAGCTACCAGGAAGCTGGGAGGGTACCAGGGATGCAATGACACTCTTGCTGGGAACTGGTACAAGTCTCTGATAGTTTACTCGGGTCTGCACATACAGTGCTGGCATATACACGTGAAAGTACCCATGGCCACTTGTAAAAAAGAATAGATTCTCACTTTCCTTCTGGATCTGGCTCAAGATACTATCTGGACTTGGGCCAACCCATGGGGAAGCAACGCCATCACTCATGACCCTTCAAAGTTCAAAAACTTGAGAACCAGCGCTAGAATACTTTCATGGACCTAAGGGTAGAGCGGGCAGGTGACAAAATATACTTTGTTCCCAATTTTTGCCAAAAGCCAAGTTTCAAAGCATTAGAAACCTTGTGAAAAGAAATTAAGCTTTTGAATCCTGATGCCAAGTGATCATCACAGTCTTTCCCAGTCTCTACAACATAGATACCCTGTAGGTACTCTTGTACCAGAGGAGCAGATGATCCTACCAATGCCATAATTGGCCAGACCTCTTTGGACATCAGGTTTCATCTGTTTAAGCAAATGCAAAACAAGTAGCCATACAACTCCCCCTTATAATTCCAGGAAATGGTATGATGGTGGTTGGTGTTTGTGGCATGCAAGATGCCCAAAAGGCCATGAAGAATGATATGCCTTCATAGACAAGAGTTTTCTGTGAAAGGCAATTCCAGTTTCATTTAGAGGTCACTTCCAGCATCAAGCACAGAGCCTGGCAGGTAAGAAGCCCTTGATAAATTATAGTGTGCTGGCTGACTGCTTGGTTGAGGTAAAGGAATGAAAAATCACACTGTCTTTGTTGATGGCTTCCATGACACATTATGTCTTTAAGTCTTACTATTCTTTAAGTCTTACTGTCCCATACCCCACCTGGCCTCTCCTTCTCCCCATACCCACCTGTAGAGGCAGGTTGGGAATGAGGCAGGTCACCCCAAAGCCCACAAGCAGCAGGTTTGTGAAGGCAAACGCTCGCATGGCATTGGTGACTTTCTGGATCTGTCGGTCTCGCTTCTTCTTCTTCTCACTTCTGTGGAGACAGAGTACACACTGGAGCTGGATCCTCCTGGAGGGGAAGGGCTCTTCCAAGAAGTCAGGCCTTAGGAGTCACGGCTTGTGGACAATCCAAGACTCAGAGACTAACCTGAGCATGTTTGAGGGACTGTCAGGGCTAGACCTCTACTAAGGACACTCCCGCTGCACACTCTCAACGGAGCGCTGAGTGTGAACCTCAGTGGAGAGGTTGGGTACCAGAAGACAGTTATCAACACACTGCATTGCCTCAGTGGAAACTGAGCACAAATGATGGGGGGGGGCAAAGAGTAGAGGTGCCCGAGTCAGGGTGTGGCAAAGCCTCTTCACACCATTGGCTCCAGCTTCACCCAAATCTGTAGGGAGCTGATGACATGTCAGATAGTAAGTCAAATAAGGGAGGGAGTGAATTTCCCCTTTGGGGGCAGGAGGGGGTGAAGGAGAAACAAATACACAGCAGATGGAACCGGAATGGGCACAAATAGCTCCTTGGCTTTAGGACCTGACCTAGATAACAGAGCATTCTCTGTAATTATTTCCTTGTGAACTTACTATTACCAGTTCCAGTCCCACTACCCACAGATACCTCAGGAACGACTGTGTGACATCCAAGAATGAATGCCAAGTGCTGGATACATACAGGGAGTCCCAGGCCCACCACTTCCTCACTATGTGACCTCAGGCAAGCCATGCCAACTCCTCACTTTGGTTACCGTATTTGTAGAATGGGAAGAACACTAGTCCACGCCTCATCAAGGTGTTGTGAGGCTGAACTGAGATACTGTTTATTAAGTGTTTGGCACAGGGCCTAAAGTAATAAACAGTTGCTTATTATATTAAGGTGGAGTCATGGAAGACAGCGTTTAACATCCTCTGATCTTGGAGCCCAACCCTCACAAAAGCGGGGCTTCAGAACCTTGTTTCATCCTGACAATTATGAACAGACCTAGTAACACATCCTGTGGTTCTAGCAATTTATTACTCCCATTGAGCAGAGTGAACCTTGCAGGCAAGCGGAACTGCTTTCACCTCATTCAACCATTGTGCTATTCATGGGACTGTGGTCCTAAAAACAAAATGGTTGGTCACCTGGTGTCTGCACACAGACCTCCCCTCTGGTTTCTCACCTTCTCTCATCTAGCCAGTGCTCTCCTAACTTCCGAGCACCAAAGAATCTTCATAACTAAGTGATACACTTAAATGTGTGCTGAGCAGAGAGAGCATTGTCTTAAAGCCCTTATGAACAGCTGTGGGCATAACTCCCTGTCGCCTCTCCTGCTGACTTTGAAACCTGAACAGCCCACCCTGTCCCTGACTAATATTGGGCTCTGGGAGCCAGAAGCCAGGGCACTGGCCCTGTCTACGCACTGGTTGGCATCTTTCTCTTCAGGCTCCTCAGAGGTATCTTCACACTCCTTCAGCCTCCAGTCCATGATGTAGCCAATGACAGGGGCTGTCAGCAGGCAGAGCAGCTGGAGCACACCGAAGATGGAGGTGTAGAGGCCAACTGCAGAGGAAAATGGGCTGCGTCATGGGCGGTCCCTCACAGAAGCCTGGGGCTGGTGCTAGGCTGAGTCCAAGACTTCGCAAACACTTCTGGGGTCTTCTACACATCACCCCTTGGTCACAAGGGGCCTGGAGGGAAGCCTAAACACTTTAAACTTTGAAATCAAAGCTGGAGTAAGGGGAAGACACCCTATTCTCTTCTCCACATCTGCTTATTTCTAAGAAATGGCTAATGAAATCCAGTATGTCACAATGATCTCCCCAAGAAGCTCCAGGAAGTATCTATGACTCGGGAACCACAAAATTACCAATGCCTGGGACTGAGGCTTCATGTGTGACCAGCCGTTAGCTTCCTGACTTTAGAAATATTCTAGGAAGGCATCACTCATAGGGGCTCTGATGTAAGGGCTCCAATCTTCAAAGAGCCTTAAAATTGTGATGGGATTTTTTTTTTCCAGGCAAACAGAAGCTGTGTTGACTGCCCCTCCCCGACCCACAGTTCTGGCTGAGAGAGAGGTTTCTCGGTAAAACAGACTGGCTGGAGGGAATGTTGCACTGTTCTCTGACAATCTCCCTGCTTACCGGTAGCCATCACTGCATCAAGAAAGCAAAAGCAAAACAGCAGAAGGAGAAAGGTTAGCAGCTGAAATCTCAAAAGTTGTTATAGGGAAACTGGGGGTGTGGGGGTAGAAGCAGGCTGGTTCTGGGCCCAGCACACCTGCCATTTCCCACCCAGATCTGACTCTCAGAGTGCTGGGGTGGGGGGGGGGCAGTGGGGGAGTGTGCTGAGCTTGACCAGGCTTCTGGGAGCAAAGGCGGGTGAGGTCCAGCACAGGCATCTGCAAACGGTTTCCCATCTGCTGGAGCCTCTGTCACATGCCACCGGGACCTCAGAATGCTGGCTGATGAATCAGGCCTGTGGTGCTTACTAAGGACCAGAATGGGGAAGTGGTGTGGGTGCTGAAAACTGGGCAAACCCAGCCCTCCTATGGCTGGCTCTCTGGGGTCCGGGGAGGAAGGACAGGGCCAAAGCATTCGCCCTGACCCCCAACCGGACATCTGATACCATGAGTCTCCCTCAGACAGCCAGAGCGGGTGCTGTTCTCTTCCACCAGTCCCCTGATCCTGAAGCAGTCCCCCTCTGAGAACACCCGGTTCAGGGTGTCAGGAGCAAGAGCTCACAGGAGCAGAACAGGGAAAACCAATGCCCCGTCAGTTGCAGATTGAATCTCCTGGCCCAACTTGCTCTACTTCTTGAAACTGACATTTTTCTTTTTTAATTGGCTTTTTGAATGTGGGAAATAGTTGGAAAAAAATTCCTCTTTGGCAGCAAAAGATTTCATAGAGAACTAGGGTAAAAGCCCCCAACTCAGCAGCAGGGAGATCTGCCTTCCAAGAGCCACTGAGGGCCTTTCCCTGCATTCTTCAGGGTCTTCACCTCTCTGGGCCTGAGTTTGTAATAAAGGGTGTTTAGACATGATGTATCAGCTCTCCCCAAAGTGCAATGACTATTACACAATAAAAATGTTCCCGTGGTAGAAATTTGGGGAAACATCATTGACCAAAACAAAGCTAAATAGGTTATTTTTCCTATAGGGCTCTCTCGAGGCCTTTACTGTGTCAGTGTTCATCACAAAACTTTGCGAGGGCACGTGAGAGCTCTCTGCAGTCTGCTTCACCACAGGACGCTCATTTTCACAGTGGAACCAGTGTTGTCTGGATCGCTTTGTCATTTCTCCCTTCTGTTAAAGCTCCATTGCTCATCCCTTTTAAAAACTGTATTTGATTCCTCTTGATGCCTAGTGTAATTTCTCCCAGGGAAAAACAATTACGCCAACAACCAGTCGCACACCAACGACGGTGCCAATAAAAAGGATTTACCGACTGTGTTTGTCCCACTTAGAGATGACTAAAGGTGACTCAGCTCAGGCCCTGAGGAAGTCCTGATTTTCTTTGTAGAATCAAAACCTCTAATCAGTTGAAGACCTTGTGTCTGTTTTAGAAAAGTGGCATGTGCGTTATCAGCTCTGTTTACCAAATTTAACAAGCCTCAACTGGATTACACACACAAGGAAGCCTCCGCCTAGCCTTGCTTTCCCGGTTCTGGGTATGGATCCCAGAGCCACAGACTGCCCCAAAGTATCCAGCTGTGCAGGCTGTGCCTGCCCCTCAGCACACAGCCTCTCCCCAGCTGAGCCTGCGGTTTCCCGGGGCGGGGAGATGCTTGGCTTTGGGTCTGACCGCTTGTCTTTCAACAGGCTCTCAGGTGGAGTACTCCCTTCTGCAGTGTTTTCATTTACCAACATGCAAGCCAAGGCTCCTCCTGAGGCAACAGAAAACACAAGCCCCACACCCTGAACACATGTAATTATTACAGTCTCCTTCCTCTGCCCCCTAAACCGGGCTGTTCTAATGGTGACAGGAGAGAACAGTTGGGGCTCTGATCAGCAGTGGATCCTTTGGAGCCCACTGCTTTCAGACCAGCCCAGCCTAATACCTTCCAGGGTGTGGACTTAACCTCTGGCAGGCAGGAGTAACCACCACACGCAGGGTCTCATGGGGATGTGCACGGAGGTCCAGGGGCCACCTACCTACATCCTGATCCCCGCTGACCAGGAACTTGAGAATATTGTTCATGGCGCCCATGTAGAAGATGAGCCTCAGCTGTGTGATGCACATGGTGACGAGGCTGAGTAGCAATATGGGGCTGAACACACTGTGCATGAAGGAGGGGGCCGCTGCGGGTAGAAGAGCGAGGGTGCTTAGGAGACTGAAGGCCCACACCCTCATGGCCCACAGCCCACCTACCATCCAGGGGTGAGAGGCATACCGTAAGGGGAGGCCTGATTCGCTGCCCAAATCACCCTATGCTGGATACAAGGTGCTGGACTAAGTGGATGCTGGACCCGGGTCACCCAAGTGTATGTAATGAATTGGATGCATTCCTCACTCATACAAATGAGCCTTAGTGACGTCATTTGTAAACCAGGGTGCAGGGTGCTGCCTGTCCTTTAGGGGTGAAGTGGGAACTGAGTGAGATAGCACCCACCAAGCCCTCAGTTCCTGCCAGCCCCAGTGAAGGGGGCTGGGGCTTCCAGGTTGGATTGGCTGCCTCCTCCCCATTGTTAAGGTGCGGGTTGGGGACAGACCCCCCTGCCAACATCCTAGGAAGGGCTTCGAAGGTGAGGGTTGCAAGGTGGGTACCTGCAGCGTCTGGCTTGCACTTCACCTCCAGGTCAATGGTAGACAGGCACAGCTTATGGCCCTCCTGCAGTGCCGCTTGCTCCTTGGCGCTCCTCATGGAGCTACCCACGCTGAGGCGGCGCCCCACTGTGGTCACCTGCTTGTAGAACTGCTTCCCTGTGATCTTGTGGTCAAAGCCCAGCCAGCTGAACTTGATCTTCACCCTGGAGGCCACAGGAGAGTGTCCATCGGTGCTGCCCGGGACCCTGGCCAGGGTGGGGGTAGGGGCAGACGCCACATCCACTTACGAATAGTCCATGTCCTCCGGCCCCGGGAAAGGCTCCAGGGGCCAGTTAAAGAAGCAGTTGAGGAAAACCAATCCAGAGCAGCTGGCCCAGACCACAAGGATGATAATGAAGGAGACACCAAAGTCGTAGATGACCTGACAGGCACAATGGGGTAGGCGCAGGGCCAAGGGGCAGAGTTAGCAGAGGGAAGCCAAGGCAGGCAGGGGGCATTTGGCAGCTCTGCTTTCTCTGTGAGAACTGCGTAAGGAGGCATAGCTCTGCCAGCCTGGGTGTCTGGTCATCAGACACCCTGCATTCCAATAATCCCAGCTTACCCTGGCACATCGTTAACCCCCTGTGCCTCTAACTTGGGCCAAATGTCACCTCCTTGGAGAGGCCTTCCCAGACTGCCCCGTCACTGTCACATTGCTAGTTCACAGTGAACAACCCTGGCTAAGATTACTGACTTCTTGATTACTTTCCTTGTCCCTTACTAGTTGAGCTCTCTGAGAACAGGAACCTGCTAGTCTTGTCCACTGACAAGCCTGGAAGACTGCATATGGTAGGTGCCAAAAAATGAACAGATGGATGTCTGACTTTGCTCCTCCGTGAAATGAAATGAGCATACACTGGCATGTACCCTCATGGTGCTGTGGTGGGGATTATGCAAGCCTGATTCTCGGAGTGCTCAGTACAGGGCCTGGTAGGTGGGAAGCCTACTGAGCATGAGCATATTAGCTGTTGTTGTCACTGCCACCATTTATTTCCAACACAAGAGTCCCCAGTGTCCTAGAAGACAGCTGTCCAGGAGTTGGGGGCACGGGGGCAGCAAGAAGAGGCGGAAGAGGAACTTTTAGGCTTCTCTGCATTCCAGAAGTGTAAGAACCCCTAGAAGTCCACAGGATGGCTGGCCCCACATCCACTAAGCACCTCAATTCCCTGGTGGCCAGTCCACATCTGGGGCTCCTCCTCATCTATGGCCTCCCCACCATGTACCACAGGAAAAGGGATTCAACGTGGTGTTAAGGCCAGAGATGGGAGAAGCAGCTTCTGCAGCCTGGCAGGAGCAACAGTGTTTGGAGTGGGAACTGGGACTTATGGTCTGTGAGGTGTTTGCTTCCTCCTGACCCTGTGTGACTTCCACAGGCTCAGAATCCTGCCTGGGAGGGAAACAGCTGAACCAACTTAGCCCAGAGCTGCGCCCTGGCCAATGGAGAGGAACAGCCCAGCAACAACAGTCTGGGGGTGGGGTAACCAGTGACAGACTAATTCACCCATCCCTTTTCTCTACCCCAGCGCAGAAATGCAAAAGCAGCCTGCTGTAACCCCCTGTATGATATACTTGAATTTTCCCTCCCCCATGGCCTGGTGGTTTTCTTTTTTTATTCCTAGGGCCACCAGGTGCATCCTCCCAGGTGTGGGTGGTGGGGAGGGGCAACCCCAGTCCCACAATTACATCCCTCTTCAGAGGAGGCTGAAGGAGCTTTGGTAGGGGCCTCTGCTCAGATGTGAGGCTGGCCACACCCTCACCTTGATTCCCGGGAAGGTGACTGCTGAGGAGGCATAGGATCCAATCATCAAGGCAATAAACGTGGAGCGAAGGTCACCAAACATGTTGGGTAGCTGAAAGACAAGAAGCAAGGGAGACCCACTGAGAGGATGGGCAGCAGGCTGGTGAAGAAGGGAGTCCAGGTATCCACAGGCACCATTTCTTATCTGCTCTCCTCCTGTGTCACTGAGGAGCAGGTAATTACAGCTCATTGGAAATTCTCCCTTAGGACCAAGGTTGATAAGGGAGGTGAGATTAATGTGGAACTCGGACTCCAGATGTAAAGACAGAGCTGTTGGATTCACTGGCTGGTGAGTGTCCCTCCTTCTCTGCTCAGGCACATGCCAGGGACCTTCCTGTCTTTTCAGGGTTACACTGAGATGCCAGGAAGCAAAGTCGGGAGCCTCTGGCATCCCTCAAAGGGAGCAAGACTGTTAAAAATAAGAATCTATTTGGGGATGAGAGTGGCACTGTATAAAAAAAAAATCAGCGTCCCAAAAGGACCAGATGTCAGCAGAAGCTGCTTTCAGTTCTAAGACAGCAGGCTTCTGGGAGGTGCCAATCAGAATTCTACAGTTCCCTCGGCTGACAGGGGAGCTAGCCTGGGAATCCTGCTTCTGAATTTCCATGTGTAAGGAGGGCTCTCCCTCTCCAGGTGATGGGCACCTGAGAAGACCAATGGCAAGAAAGACTCATTCTCTCTTCCCAGCAAGGTCATGCTCACACCTCATGTCAGCTGATTCAGGGCCCATCTGACACAACTTCAAAGCTAAAACCCCCCTGTGACTCTGCACAAATCCAGGCATAGTAAATGTGACAACGTTGTCACAGATTCAAACAGTCAATCTGTAGTTCTCTCTCTAGTCTTCAGAGAGACTGCACTGCCACATTGTGAGGCTCTCCCATCCCATGCCCACAGCGTCCTGGGAAGAGAGGATCACTCCCCAGGCAGAATGCCAACCTGCTGTTCATATGGACCTCATCTATGCTCCCCTCTCCCATTTGCCTGTCATCATACCAGGGTTTTCTTAATCATGGAGCACTACTGCCCACAAGCCCATCCATTGTTGCTGAATGGAGGCAGTCTGAACTTGGCTATTACTGTCCCTCATCATGTCTGCCTGTTTTGCCCATAGTTATCTTAAAAATGAGGAAGGGGGGGATCCCTGGGTGGCGCAGCGGTTTGGCGCCTGCCTTTGGCCCAGGGCGCGATCCTGGAGACCCGGGATCGAATCCCACGTCGGGCTCCCGGTGGATGGAGCCTGCTTCTCCCTCTGCCTGTGTCTCTGCCTCTCTCTCTCTCTCTCTCTCTCTCTCTCTCTCTGTGACTATCATAAATAAATAAAGAAAAAAATATTTAAAAAAAAATGAGGAAGGGACATAGCCAAAATGAAAAGCTTTTGTGCTTCAAGGGACGCTACTAAGAAAGTGAAAAGACAATACACAGAAGAGAGAAAATTTTTGCAAATCATACATCTAATATGGAACATCTATATACTACTATAGAAAGAACTCCTGGCAACTCAAAATTTAAAAAATAACCTATTTTTTCAAATGAGCAAAATATCTGAACAGATATTTCTCCAAACAAGATATACAAATGGCCAGTGAGCATATGAAAATATACTCGAGGGAAGCCTGGGTGGCTCAGTGGTTTAGCGCCGCCTTCAGCCCAAGGCCTGATCCTGGAATTCCGGGATAGAGTCCCATGTCAGGCTCCCTGCGTTGAGCCTGCTTCTCCCTCTGCCTGTGTCTCTGCCTCTCTCTCTCTCTCTGTGTCTTTCATGAAAAAATAAAAATAAAATCTTTAAAAAAAAGAAAGAAAATATACTCGATATCATTAATCACAGGGAAATGCAAATTGAAGCCACAATGAGGTATTACTTCATACCCTCTAGGGTGGATATAATAAAAAAAAAATCAGATAGTAACAAAACCTAATGAGATTACACAGGAATCAGAACACTCATTCACGGCTGATGGGAATGTAAGATGGTGCATGACCATTTTGGATAACAGTCTGGTCATTCCTCAAACAGTTAAAACACTGAGTTACCATATGACTTACAAAATTCACTCCAAGGTATGTACCCAAGAGAAATGAAAACATACAGACTCACAGAAGCTTGTAGGTAAATGTTTAGGGCAGCGTTCTTTACAATATCAAAAAAGTGCAAACAACCCGAACGTCCATCAATGGATGAATGGATAAACAAAAATGTAGTCTATCTAAATAATGGAATAGTATTTAGCCACAAGAAGAAATAAGGTACTGATGATACACACTATAATATGGATGAACCTTGAAAACATTATGATAGATGAAAGAAACAAGTCACAAATGACCACATACTGTGTGATTCCGTTTATATGAAATGTCTAAAATGGGCAAATCCATAGAAACAGAGAATAGATCAGTGGTTCCCCAGGGCTGGGGTACAAGAAGCTGGAAATAAATAGGGAGGAAACGCTAATGGGTACAGAGTTTCTATTTGGGTGATATAATTGATTATGGTGATGACTGCACAACTGTGAATATACTGAAAACCACTGAATTGTATACTTTAGGTGAATTGTATGGTATGTCAATTTGTCTCAACATCACTGTTAAAAAATATGAGTAAGATACTTAAGATGTTTTGGCATCCCAGGATTAAAGAGGAACATGAATAAATCTGTAGTGTATGGCCAATAAGTCATTTTATGACATGGGGCCAGGGTGGCCATCCAGGCTTCCCAAAAATCTCTAGCACAAAAATACCTCTTCTTCCAGCCCTTGCATAGAGTGAACGCTCTGTCCACTCAGGCTTCTCAAACAGGGCCTAAGAGGGAGAAAGAGCATAGAGAAATTCCCCCCAGCAGGAAAGAGAGGAAATGTGACATGCTCATGTGAGCCCAGGGAACACCTAGGTGGGTGATCACTGAAAGTGCCCAATCTTCCTCTTTGCACACCTGCTTCCCAGGTATGCATGCTGCGGTTCAGAGGACTGCCTCAGTTCCTGAGTTCACATATTCGGGCTGCTTGGTGCTGGCTGATCCAGCAAGGCAGCCTCGTAGGAGAGCCATTTCTGGGGTCATATCCACCCCAGGGAGAATCCAAAGATTTGTTCTGCTTATATGAAAGGAGGGAACTGTTCCAATCTGAGATGCCACTCCAGCCAGGGGAAATGAAGGAAGAAAGGGATCAAAGAGGGCTTGGAACCCAACCAGGAGAGCAGCCAGAGGCCAAGTGCCTGGTACAGGAAAGGCTACTTGGTGCAAAGTCAAGCCAGAAAAACACTCTTTGTTGCTGCAGTCACCTTTGGGCACAAAGAGTGTCTCCAAATTTTCAATAGGGCTGGGAACACTCTAAAAGAGCAGACAGCTTGCTAGCTAGCCGTTTTCCTTCTACCTTCTTAAGCTGAAGTTTGTCTTAACCCTAACCTAGGACAGAGGCCACAGAACAATGGACTTGCAGCTAGCATACCACAACCCTGCTTGATCTTCTGGAGTCTTCTCCTCAGAACTAGATCCAGGACAGGGATGAACAGGAAGCCGGGAAAAGGACACTGACTTCCCATCTGCCCGTGGACAGACGAGGCCCTGGACGAGGACAGGAGCCTTTCAGCTGCCCTCCTTCCTGCCTGGCCTCTCCCTGCCTACAACACTTTTAGGAACACCTAGAAAATTCTCCCTAACATGTTATTTTGGTCAGCAGAGCGATTCCTAGGGGAGTAGAGCCTCAGGTCAAACCATATCACTACACAGTCTTCCCACCAACACCCACAACTTGTATTTTACATTAGGATTATTTTTCCTGGTTAGGAAAGCGATTTGTAAGTCCATTGTAAAACATCTGAAAACAAAGTATACACGAAGAAAGAATAAAAAAATCACCCTGATATAGCCATGTTACTATTTTGATATATTTCCCTTTAATCATCTTCCTATAAATACCTGTAACTTTTAAGTAAAACTGGGATCATAAGCTACATATTGCTTTACAAATTTTTTCCCTTCTACTTGATATAGTATAAACATTTTCTTTCTTCTTCCTTTAAAATTTTTTTAAGGGCAGCCTGGGTGGCTCAGCAGTTTAGCACCGCTTTCAGCCCAGGGCCTGATCCTGGAGACCTGGGATCGAGTCCCACGTCGGGCTCCCTGTGGGGAGCCTGCTTCTCTCTCTGCCTGTGTCTCTGCCTCTTTCTCTCTGTGTCTCTCATGAATAAATAAATAAACAAAATCTTTAAAAAAAATTTTAAGGTTTTTAATTTTTACTATTACAATTATTTTTCTATTTATTTTTTTAAAGATTTTATTTATTTATTCATGAGAGACAGGGGCAGAGAAGCAGAGACAGAGGCAGAGGGAGAAGTAGACTCCCTGCAGGGAGCCTGATGCAGGACTGGATCCCAGGACCCCGGGATCATGACCTTAGCCAAAGGCAGACGCTCAACCACTGAACCACCCAGGTGCCCCATTATTTTTCTTTTTATTATATTTTTAAGATTTTATTTATTTATTCATGAGAGACACACACAGAGAGAGAGAGAGAGAGAGGCAGAGAGAGAAGCAGGCTCCACGCAGGGAGCCCGACGTGGGACTCGACCCTGGGTCCCCAGGATCACACCCTGGGCTGAAGGAGGCACCAAACCGCTGAGCCACCTGGGCTGCCCCAATTATTTTTCTTTTTAAAAGATTTGTTTATTTTAGATAGAGTGCACACACTAGCAGGGGAAGGAGCAGAGGGAGAGGGACAAGCAGAATCTGCACTAAGCGCAGAGCCCCACATAGGGGATCATGACCTAAGCCAAAATGGAAAGTCAGCCACTCAATGGACTAAGCCACCCAGATGCCCTTGTTTTTACTATTTTTTAAGTAATCTCTACCCAAACATGGGGCTCAAACTCACAACCCCGAGGTTAAGAGTGGCATGCTCCACTAACTGAGCCAGCCAGACACCCCTGTAAACATCTTCTAACTTAGTATTCACCTTCAACATAATTTGTAATGACTGTCTGGTATTTCCTTATCTGGATGGTCTATAATTTATGCAACCATTTCTCTGATGTTGGAACTCAGGTCCTTTTTAATT